TGCAGAATTTCTCCCCTGCTTCTCATAAAAAAAAAAAAAAGTTAAGATAAACAAAGTCACTGGAATTCCAGCTCAACATTTGCCAGGTCAAGTAACCCGACCAGCAACGGTCATGGTAAAGTTACACTGACACAGAGCGCAGTCAGGGGGGTGGGCAGGGCCGGCTGAAGCCCCTGTGGAGCACTACGTAAATAACACCCCTTCCCTGCCCCCTCCCCCGGCAAGCTTCAACGCCAATAAAATTGGCTTGCTAAGTCGGCCCTTGGTGACCACCTATATCACTCAATGGGTTGACCGGCACTAGGTTCAGGATAAAACAGATGAAACAATATCAATAGCCCTAAAGCTAACCCGCGATCTGGGGCAAACGGGAACTGAGAAGGGGTTTTTGGGGCAATACGGCACGCGCATGTAGAAGGAGGCGGCGTGGGTGACCATGATCAGCATCAACTGCTACTGCAGGCCGTAAAGTAAATTCTAAGGGTCCTGAGGAGGAAAAGAAGGTCCTGGCAGACAGGGTCTGTCCCAGAACACACACCTATCACAGTTTCATTAAAGAAACACTACGGCGTCGATACTGATGGGAGAGTAATGCCCTCCAGGCCGGCCGGCGAACACTCAGCCCGACCCCCGTGGGCCATGGGTCCCATTCGGCAACATCTTTACCGAGCAAATCCAGTAAGTGACGAGAACTCCAGTCAATTTTGGCATAACACAAATTCTGAGTTTCCCTGGAAGGGAGATCACATGACCGCCGTCCCGGCGATGTCACAGTGCTCAGGTGTGACGTGAGAGCTTCTTAACTTAAGCTCTGCATGCCGGAGCGTGGAGGTGGACAGCTTCCTCGCTCGGCCTCAGATAACCGGCCTGTTTTTAAACCAGCATCTCGGCTCGGCTCCCGGTCATCGTCTGTCACAGCTACAGCGTGTAGCTTTTCCTGCTCAGCCGTTTCCAAAGGCACCTCCTCATTTGGACTGGTACGGGGCTGGGACATGTCAACCTCCCCCTCATGCAGCATCGGTGAGGCCGATTTGCTTACTTACTCCCGGCCCCCGCTCCGGAGATCATCTTCACTCCCCTCCCTCCGGCCCAGTTGGTGTAACACGCTTCCCAGGAACCTTTTTCACAAGGAAAACTGCCACTTTTCCAGAATTTTCAGGTCCCTGAATCTGAATAATGCTTGACAGTGATAATGTAAAACACACATTTGGCCACAGAATTCTTCTGGACACCAAAAACAACTTTGTGTTCCTTATAAGCACAACTGTTGCACATACATAATCAACTAAAGAGACTTTCTGGGCTGACAGAAGCTTTTTAAATGGAATTTTTCCAAGTACGGTGCCATGACTTAAGTTAAAATAATGAGGGTTAATAAATCTACCATTTAATTAAATGTTCTGAATAACTTCCAATGCAGTCCTACTTTTCTATTTTATATACACATGCAATAATGACTCAGTTGAAACTCAGAGGTTAAGTTTAACGGAAAGATAAATTATGACTGTATTACTCTGAAGGTAACCTCTAAGAGCATGACATAACCTGGTGATACAAGATCAACAAACAGAGCACCAATTAAATACAGTATATATGTTTTTGCCTACAGTTTCCTCAGGATAATTTATGAGTTTCTTATAACAGTAGCTTTGGCAAAATAGCAGCAACAGGAGAGAGTGACTGGATGGACATTTCAGGTTCACATCCCAAAAGGAACCTGAACATATAAATTTAGTATACTAACATTGAACAATATGCCCTTCCTTAAAAAGAATCAATGACAAAAAGGCAACTTCACTTCTATAACAGAGAGCTAAGCAAAACGTCAAATTAAACATAAATCCATGTAACAATAGCAAAAATTGTTGAGATAAATATAAGGATAGCTACAATGTAGGAAAAGGAAGAAGGCAAAGTTCCCCTATCTGGTAAAAACGAATATTCAGATACAGTAGTACTGATTCCTTATATTATTCCATCTGTTTCAGTAAAGGCACGCGCAGTATTACAGTTAGAAGGTCCGTAGTGTTGCAAGCATGAATGCACACAACGCAGAAAGCCTTGGCTCTCATTTTTAATACAAACCTCAAATAAACACGTAGAGATAACTACATCTCTCAGTCCCAGCCTCTGCGCGTACGGAGTTTGCATAATCTCCCCGTATCGTCATGTTTCTTCCGGGTACTCCGGTCCGGTTTCCCCCCACAGTCCAAAAACATGCTGAGGCTGATAGGCGTGACCAAATCACGCAAATGTGTGCATGTACATGTGAATGGTGTGTGAATGTGCCCTGCGATGGGTTGGCGCCCCATCCTGGGTTGTTCCCCGCCCGTCGCCCCCGGACGCCCAGCGACCCTGTACAGGACAAGGGAATATGGAAAATGGATGGATGCTATTCTAGAAATATGCCGTTACATCCACATTTCAAACTTATGGCGTGGTATAAGGACGTTTCCCCACCTACCTGCGGATAAATCACCTGCACAAACACGGTTTTCTCCTAAAGGTCCCTGTTTTAGACTAAATAGTGCGAAATGCATTGATGATAGTCGATGAAGTTGCAACGAAAAAACAGCTGGAAACAAACACACAAAAAAAGGAATCGGACAGACAAAAAGTAGGCTCTTCATGGCCAAAACTGGTGTTAATAAACAGCAATACGATCATATGCATCACGCTGAAGACGCCGGGTTCTCATCAAACGGCCTGTCGATCATAAAACGGGGGAAAGCAAATTAAAAAGACAGACATTACCTGGGCTCTGGTGTGCTCGCCGTTATCTCCCGGTAATGGTCCCCCGGCGAAGACGCCGGCTGAGTTTCCCGAGATGCTGCTTCGGATTAAACTGGCATATGGCTCGTGCGTGCGGCTATTCAAATAACACGCTTTCAGCTTTTCCGCATTTCTTAAGTATTGCACATGATCCACCGAGTTATATGCCCATGACATCCACGAAAACGTATTACTTCTATATTAGGAACCTGTCGGGAGGGGGAAAAAACAGCGCGTTACAAGACAAATAACGCTAATGACTATCTTTGACCCATTTACCCCAAAAGTAAATTTCGGGTATTTCAATCGAAATGCAATCCTGGCCAGTTAGATGGCGACCTAATCTGTGCATGTATTTATCTGTGTTAATTTAGTAGCTTCTTAGTTTATAGATTCACGGAAAGCCTCCGATCCCTCCCAGGCGACGTAGCCTATTTTATAGCCAGACCATCGGCAATGTCTTACATAATTAATATTATATCAATATGACCGCCGACGTATTCCCAGGTACCTTGACAAAGCCCAACTTCGCTCACCAGGGAGAAGAATCAGTTGTTCCGTGACACCCGCTGGACAGACGCCATTTAAATCGTATCCTCATCCAGTTCGACCGCAACCCTGCTACACTGAAACTAAAGCATTGGGAAAAAAAATAAAAACGGCGCCCTCTTTCGGCCAAGAGCCGCCGTGTGCAAAACTCTTGCCTGTCATGAGAGTGATGCCAAATTCTTGGGTCACAGTGTTAAACACCTAGGCGGTACCAGTCCTAGCTATTGTGGCGTCCTAGGTGAGGCAAAGAGAAATTAGTTAGCAAGTCGGCGCACCCTCAGAAATTGGCGCCCTAGGCGGCCATCTATGTTGCCTATAGGACTGGCCGGCCCTGCACCTAGGATCTCCTTCCCAGTTATCGGTGTTAAGGGTTCAAGTAATGTAGCAGATGGAACCCTATTGTTTTTTTATTATTATTATTATTATTTATTATTATTATTATTATTATTATTATTTTCCCAACATATCTTACAATTATATAAAATCTGATTATACATCATTCCTGGCAGAGAGAAAATTCTCAAGTCAACCCATGCGGTACAGTACACAGTGAAATGAAACAGCGTTCCTCCAGAACCAAAAACAACGTAAAACAACACAGGACTTCAAAACCTACACAAAACGACATAAAGATCATGTGCCTGCAAACATGTGCAAACACTGCAGGACAGTACAGGACAGTGCAGGAAGACAAGACAGTGGCACAAACGAAGACAGTGCAGCACTGGGGAGTGCAGATATTTACAGCTGCAAAATGCAGGAGGCTGTGCAGAGATGTGACAGTATATTAATAAAAACAATGTAAATGCATGTAGCTAACAGAAATAGCATAGTAGTAACACTATCGATAAAACCATGTCATCTAAAGGATAAGGGGGATAATGTGCTTCTGCTCCCAGCAGATCTTTAAAAATATGCTCTACATAATTAGTAGATCCCTGTACATTATGAGGTAGGCTAATGAACGGAGAAAAATACAGCCATACAATTCAGAAATATTATGATAACCCTGCATCCATTTCCAAAAGTGATGGAATAAAGTGATAAACTATCAAGTGTGTCGAAATAGTGCTTTTTAAAAGTTTTTAAGAAACAGAATTATTGCAATAATACACCACTTTATCCACATCTACAATGGAGCTGTCTTGTTTAAAAATGTAAGTGTACATCAGCTATACCGCTATATGAAAATGACATCATTAATTATAACAGAGGTCAACATTTCAGGTCCAGAAAGTAAAAATTCAGACCGACACAAGTGGTTGGTTGAAACAAAATCTTGTTCTGGATTTTTTTTTTTGGGGGGGGGGGGGGGGCTGAAATGTCCACCTTTGGTTATGATGAAGAAAATTTGTTAAAAAGTTAAAAACTGTGGGTAGCCCAATGGCTCACACTTCTCAGTGGGGGGGTCAAATCCTGCCTATGCTATGTGTGTGTTGGGTTTGCATGGTACTCTGTGTTATACCAGTTCCCTTCCACAATGTAAAGGCATATAGTTGGTTTAGCTAACGCCAGGTGTCCCGCCGAGGGTGTCCCCAGCCTCGTGCCCCCCAGCCTCGTGCCCCCCAGCCTCGTGCCCTGTGCTGTCGGGAATATGCTCCAATCCCCCGTGTTCCTGACCAGGGCAAGCGGCAAGATACATACAGATGAAACTATGGTAAAAATATTTTATTTACATAAATGAAATGCAAAGAAATTAGCTTAAAATCAATATTAATAAATAAAAAGAATAGAATTATAGGAGAACTACGATGGAAATTATTGTAGACAATGTAATACACAGAAACACAAGTAAAAGTTAAAAATAATTATATATTTTTAGAAATATAGCAATATACAGTGAATTTCAATATACTTCACGAAAAAAAAAAAAAAAACCTCAAGAAAACAAACAGCTCAATCCACTGGCTTCCGGAAATCACCAGTCCAGTTTCATATCAGTTTTACTCCACAGATATCTGCCACCCCTCTTTAGAAACATCTTCTCGTCGAAGCCGCTGAACTGAACGGCGTTCTCCACACCCACGTCAAGGATGGACTTCGAGGGGTCCTTCCGTCCCTCTCTGCAATCGAGAAAGCGCATCTAGAGGGAAAAAGAACGCTATACAGTTAAGATAAGTTAATATAACAGTACTCTGTCACTGTCACGTTTATTTATTACCGGTAAATTGCTGTTATCGGTATAGGACGAGTCGCGGCAAGTCGCAGAGGAAGTTACCATGCGCTACTCCTCGGTAAGTTTGCAAACATCGCTTGCGCAAACTCGTGCAGTATAAATGAATGAGAGGAGAAAATGAAACCCCCGATGAGGTGAGCGAGTTTTGTGAAACTCTCAATGGCAGCGTGCCCGGGACCAATTTTCTTTTCAATACGGAGACAAGCAGGGGCTTTGCTGCAATCAATGCACCGCTGATCATGCAGAAACAATGCGCCTTTCTTTATTACTTATTATAAATGACTTAACGCCACTGCATACCAGGAAACGCGTAACCACAAAACACAGTTGAAGTTTTCCTGTCATACCGATTTAAAGTAAAGCAGTTTATATAAGAGTTAAATCAAGGCGTTAGCACTCTACCTTCTGATTGGATTCTGGAACCAGACACTGGATGTCGCTGTGCCGGTCCTGGAATTCTTGAAATTGTTCATCGCTGATGACGAACTTCTCTGCGTCTCTGAGGGCACTCTCCCCAACGTTCTCTCCCTCGATCAGCAGACACTGAAATATCTGTTACAAAACGTGCACAAGCAAACATGATGTCACAAGGTCTGGCTCCAACACATTTCACTTTAATAAGTCACCATACCTGAATTATCCATTCTGTGGAATTAATAAATTTGGCTTTAGCTTAATCTAATATGACATGAACAATGAAGTGAATCATTCAGTAGACGACTGGATACTCTAATGCCTCAAAGATAAAATCTTAGCAAAGGAATCACTGCTGATTGGCTGTTGTATCCCAGAGAGGAGGACCGCGTACCTTCCAGCGAATGGGGTTCAGCTCCATTATCTGCTCTCTCATGTCCTCGTCCACGTTGTAGCTGCAGATGACGGAGTTGATCTTGAACGCCACCTTGTATTGACGGCACCAGTCTCGCACCTGTTTCAGGTTCTCCACGTGACTTTTACGACCTTGGGTGCGGCCGATCTGAACGTTGGTGTCCTCGTTGAAGCTGTCGCAAGAGACAGCTAAGATGTCCAGGTATTCACCTGTCACATGGGGGAAAGGGGCACTTTTTACCTTCTGATTAATAAAGATGAATTCGCTCAAAGCCATGACAATTGGAGCATAAGTTAACCCTGCCCCAACCTTGCAGGTTCCAATTTTTCTTGTTCCTCCACCTACATGCTTGACTTTCTAATTGTATTTGTCAGCTAAAGATGAAGCCATTGTTATCCTGGCTCTGACGTGCAGGTACTACAACAAAAACGTGTCCACAGGGATAGAGTTTAGATCTTTGCTGTGATCAGGAACCGTTACTTATTAACCATGAGTGGTTTCACTTGAACAGGAAGTCAGTTCATCACAGGGGGGTGACTTCTGTTGTAATGTGACGTGTTACCTGAATAAATGTCTTACACGTGTGTTCTTGCAAGTCTGGATATTTCTTCAAGTTGCTTAGCAGCTAATTAACTGTTGCGCTGTATGACAACCTGCCACCTGCAGTTCATATGTGGCACTGCAGCTCAATTTTAAATAACAAAAAAAAGCTGAGTATCCGCATAAGTGAAACAGACGTAAGTGCAGCTTACCATACTTCTGAAACCACCTCTCCCTGATCATGCTTCCATTGCTTACTATGCTGACACTCGGAAGCTGAAGATCATGTTTGCAGTACTGGACCAGTTTTCCGAGAAAGTCGCCTCTCTCATGTATAAAGGGTTCCCCACCAGAAAAGTTAATCTTTTCCATTCCTGTAAAAAAAAAAAGATGCAAAGCAGAGTTTATTAGCACGAATCTATCTATCTATCTATCTATCTATCTATCTATCTATCTATCTATCTATCTATCTGTCTTTGAAGAATGTGCTGAGAATTCTCAGAACTCACCTGCTTCTTTCAGCAAACGCAACCCTCTCTTTGCTTCTTCGAGGGGCAGCACGAAAGACGTTTTTGCGGTATGAAAGCAAAACCCGCATTTATAATTGCACCGCCGTGTGAAATGGTAGTTGACGCTGCTGGGAGTTGGTGCGTTTGTATTATTGCTTTTCCTAAGTATTCTGTCGATGTCCCCCTCTCCTTTCTGCACATCCTTTTTTCCAGGACCCGGCACATTTCGAAAAATAAGCCCCATCCAGGTGCGCGCCCACCCCACCACATCACTGAAGATGTGAAGGTGGCTGACAGACTTGCACACCTGAAAAACAAAATGCAAGAGATCGACTATGGCTGAGAGAAACATTGTTCAGTTTTCTTCTCTGGTCTCGTTTAAACACGAGAGGATTTATTTATACTATCAGCCGCATCTCGGTCACATGGGTGTCAGACTTACGTTGCAAAAGCTGGCGAGCAAATTCATCCTTCAAAATACAGAAAACGAAACATGGGAGGGTCACGTGACTGAAAATCCGAATTCACGAATATTATAGATTAAACTGCAGAGCGTGTTGTATCTGCACATATTAGCCTACATATAATAATCATATATTACAATGCATGCATGCGATTCAAAATAGTGACTTTTTATTCTTCCATAACTGGAAAAGCACAGCTTCGTGTTTTGGGTGCCCTGCGAAGGAACTTTCGTTTTCGTGTAAACAGTGTTTGCTTTCGGTTTCTCGCCGAAAGCGACCCGTAAGTTTCGGTTCATTACAATGTGTTATATAATAAACCTGTGGATGAAATTTAATCGTGATCTCCATCGCGGGACATTCTGGTGTAAATATGAGCAGACGTGTGCTCGGCTGTCTGGGCCAGTGCTCCTCTCGGGTCTTCGCCATCGAGACGGACCCGAAAGTCGATCCCGTGTATTTTTCTCTTATTAAAAACCCACCGACAGACGCAGAGATGCCGGCGTTTCAAGAAATATTCGGGAGAGAAAAGAGCTACTCTTTCCAGGTCTGTGTCGAAGACAGGATCCAAAGAGCTCTTCTCCACGACGACCTACGGCACCAGTTAATTTCGGGGTTTGGAGGAGATGTCAAAGTGTTTGAAATGTCCTCCTTTCGTCCTAATGCGCAAAACTCTCTGGTCAAAGGTTTTTTCGTGAATGGCGTGTGTGGCACGCCGGAGACGGACCAAACTCTCAGCAAACTGCTGCAAAGCAACCGACTGGCCGTGTGTACCTACGTCCCCGGGGACGCAGTCGGCCGGTGGTGCCAGGAGCCGCTGCGTCCCGCAAAGGATGGCGCGGCGGCCGCGGCTGGCAGGTACGGCGTGGTACCGGTCCCCAGTCCAGACCATCACCCATCAGCGCTGGATATTATAAACTCCAGCGTCTTCTACAACTTCATAGAAGCCCACAATGTTATGGCCGAGGTAGGGTGAGAAAATCAGCTTTCCTAACGCGTCTGGATTCATTGCACTCGTTTGGTTTATTTAAGCCTATTTGCTGTAAATCGGTAATGTGCGAGTTGCGCTGAATCGCTCGGTGTATTCTCCATCGGGGAGGCTCTAGGTGATTTAGAGTCGTTTTAATGTATGTTACAGTCAGGAACGGCTAAGCTTCATTTGGGACCCCCCCCCCCCGAAAAGTACATTGATGATTGTTGCACTTTTTCGCAGGTAATTCGGGGTCCCAAGGCAACTGTCTGTTTTGCCTATAGCTAGAACAGGTTACAGTGTCGTTTATATTTCATGAAAGACTCGGTTTCTGTTTCTTAATAGTGCATATTTAAGATGTCTTCTCGCTTACCTGACTGATCGAGCTAGTTTCTCTTTATATTATGGACATGCGTGGGATTTTTCTGGTAACAAGATTGTCCTGTTTGCCTTTAGATGCACCCATCCATAACATTCCTTTCAATCCTCTTTTTAATTCCCCTTAAGTGTGCTCACGTCATTACGGAAGCGAAGCATGTGCTGCAGCGTGTGGATCAGACATTGCCGATGAGGACTACGGACCGCTTCCCAGTGATTGTCATTGAAGGACTGGATGCAACAGGTTTACTGCACACATACCGCAAATACACAATTAACCGATATTAAACAATAGATTACTTGTAAGTGTGATATTTGACTGAAGAAGTCATTGCGCGGCGCACCAAAGCTCAGACTACATTAGTAATAATGTCGTACAATTATACTGAATGGATATTATAGGCCTATTTGTAATATTCGGCTTAGGCTATTTATTTATACGGGTTTGGAAGACAGGTAGGTCGATGGTGTGCGCGTTGTATAATTTAATAAATTGCCACCCCCTCCACTTGTTCAGGGAAAACCACCTTGACAGAGTCCCTGAAACAGTCCCTCGGGGGAGTCCTGCTGCGTTCCCCCCCGCCCTGCCTCAGCCCGTGGAGAGCCTGCTTCGACGCCAAACCCGCCCTTTTCCGGCGGGCGTTTTACGCCCTGGGGAATTACGTCACCGCCGCCCACATCTCCGCGGAGTCAGCTCGGGCTCCGGTTATTGTCGACAGGTGCGCCCATACATCTCGTTTCTAGTGTCATAGATACGATATTCGTTTAACTACAATAAACGTTCCCTAGAGACTCAGTCTAGGACACAGTGTTAACTGGATAACTGGTTTAATTTTTAATGATACCTTTATCAGCCTTTGGTAAACAGGAATTACTCGATTTCACATTGGGTGATTTATGCAGAAGTGGGAGACTTTTTGGTAAATGATTTTAACAGTAATAGTTGAGTCTCTGTCTGGCTTTTGGGGTTTATTTCATGCACGTTCCACCCGGGGGCTTTTTGGGGGGGGGGGGGGGGCAAGGCTGGGGTGCCAGTGCATCACAGGGCACCTGGGACAGGATTTTCTCACTTGTAATTACATCAGGGGTTCTTCAGTTAAATTCATTTTTTTTTTCATTAACACAATGTGCAGGCACATGCAAACAAAAGAAGAGTTGCAGCTTCACTAGAACATGCAAACATGTGAGACGCAAGGGGACAGGGGAGGTGGATGGAAGGAAATATACATAGATTAGACATAAATCACGTAAATTATACATACATAAATTATACATAGATAGAATACAGATATACATATCAACATGTAAATATCAAGTTTCCATAGAGAGTAGCTACATTTTAAGTGTAGCTAAATTTTGTCTTTCTATTAAGATTTTTGCTGCTTTATACCATCAACTGATACTGTGCAGTCCTTGTTAATTGCAGTATTAATAACATGAACTGAAGCCTGTTGTATCCATATTCCTGATGTCTCAGGTACTGGCACAGCACGGCGGCCTATGGCATCGGCACGTCCGTCAGCGGCAAGGTGGGCAATCTGCCACCCCGGGGGTCTGAGGTGTACCGCTGGCCAGGAGACCTGCTGCGGCCTGACCTGGTCCTGCTGCTGACCGTCAGCCCTGAGGAGCGGCTGAGGAGGATCAGGGGGAGGGGCGGGGAGAAGACCCGCGAGGAGGTGGAGCTGGAGGCCAACCAGCTGTTCCGCAGCAAGTGAGTGAGAACAGAGCGCCGCCCTGCTGGAATTTGCAAAGCAGAGTTTATTAGCACGTATCTATCTATCTATCTATCTATCTATCTATCTATCTATCTATCTATCTATCTATCTATCTATAATATATCAACTAGAAAAAATCCAGTTTTGAATGTTTTGAAACCATAGCTGGTCTTTAAGGGTTCAGTGTTTGTTATATTATGGTTTACTGTAATGCATTTAAAAACTGTTGATAGCATGTTGCGCTAAACTGTGTCTTCTGGTCCTAAGAGTGGAGGAGGCCTACAGGAGGATGGAGGACCCAGCCTGCGTGGTTGTGGATGCCAGCCCTTCTGCAGCAGAAGTCCTGCAACAAGTGCTGCTTGTAATTAAGGAGAAAGTGCACGTGCAGGGGAGCCTGTAGTACATGGATCTGCAGAGACAGGCTGCGATACTCTATTTGGCCAGCAGGTGGCAGCACAACACCACAGAACTGGTTCTCCGGCCCCTTCGCCTCATTCCAGACCCCTCCCATCCCCGGCAGGAGAACCAGGTTGCGGCAGCGGCGTGACTGGTGTGTCGGGGCAAATTCTAAGACATGCCGCTGCATTTCTGATGTCCTACATGACACAGAGCTGGAACGTGATAACAGTCCCTGGGCTCTGAGTGTCAACACTGGCACACTAGAGCAGTGATCTGTCCCCGGTTGAAGTTCAAGGAACGAGGAATTGCGTTCACTTGCAGGTTATGTGTGAATTTAATTTTATTTTATCAGTTTGGGATCTTTCATCAAGACACTCAAGTTCAATAAACAGTAAAATCACTCAGGCTGTACATTAATTTAAGACAGTGTTTACTGTATCCAGTTACTCACGGCCCTGAAGCCTTTTGCCCCTTTTCACACATCTGTCAAGCTCATCTTTAAACCGAATACTGTTTTTCTTCTCTCATTGTCCGCCGTGTCCTTCAGAGTCACATTTAAAGGTAACTGGACCCCCTCGAAGGCCTAAGGACCACTGCACCCCTGGTCTCTAGGCCATCTCTGCCGGGAATGACCGTGAAATTCAAAGGGCTCAGTTTCACATCCATTCTCCCTCACAGGACTCGCTTTGGTGACACAGTAACTTGCAGTAGGGTGTGTTTACAGGGTGTGACGGTTAACTTAATCACATGACACAGGGATGGGGGTAGGATTGGAGACTTTGGGGGATGGTCTTCAACACGAGGAAGAACGCAGAACCGAATCTTATATGACTGCTAATAAGGTATAAGCGACACTAATGAATTTTCTCTGATTCGATTATGGGGGGGCCGTGGACTGATCCCAAATCTCTTCTGCTTCTGTGCCGTACCTGTCCCCAACACCATCTTGGGAGGGGGGAGGGGGTCACCGAGTATCGTCTGACCGTCAATAACCGAAGTCAAAGCAGCTCAAATCAAGTCAAGTGGGGCTTTAGTGTCACACGAGCCCTGTACATAACATAGCATACGGGGGCACGGAATGACGCTCCGAGAGGCTGCGGTGATACGTAAATACGTGAAGTGCAGAGACTGACAGGACAAGTGCAAAAAAAAATAAGTCATGGCAACATCAACACACAATGGAATGTTTAGAATTTAGCTGGTGACTCTCAAAGGCAGTTTATTTGCGCTTAAACCCGCTGCCAGTGATCTTTGTTTACACCGATGACGCATTTAAAGGGAGAGGCTTTCTGCAGCATGTCAAAAGGCGCCTTGTGCAGCAGGTGCACCGCAAATGTTGCTGCATGTCGCATTAGTTAAAAGCACAGAAAGCAATTCTCCTCCAGTCCTTGATAAATAACACAAAGGCCCTCCTTGGGTGCAAAAGCAGTTTTTTTATTTGAGTGAATCCAAATTGTTAAGTAATGTTTACCGATTAATCCACAGGTTGGCACATTTGTTAAAGTTATATAGCAGTTTAAGCCCACGTTTAAACATTAATGGCCATATCGAAGCATGAGATCACACATACCTTGGAAACAGACCCTGTAATTTTCCCCGTTTTTTTGGCCGCAGTTTAACAATTTTATGTGCAATTACATAAAACGCTGATATCATGTATATGTAAATCACATGACTGCCACTGTACATACTTGGATTATATCCTGAATAGCTTATGACCGAATACATAAAACCTAATTCAAAGGCTTTTTCCTATTACTTATATAAGATTATATTCTAAGTTATTTTTTTTCCTTGTTCTGGAAATTCCAGAATTCTTGTTAGTATAGAGTACTAACAGAGCACTAACTTCCTTGTTTCGACCAATCACTGACTATCTTGATCGTTTACAATTTCTGTCCAATCACTGTGCACTATTCAGCAATATGCCGTCAATCAGTGGCAATACCACTAAACCAGTTTTTATTTATTTTTTTCAATCCGTGATCGGAAGACTCGGCAACAGTTGCGCCATTTCTGTCTTTCCCTGTGGGACATAAATTGCGCATAAATATACAAAAGTATATATTTGCAGATAAAAATAGAAATTCCACAAGTGGCTTGAGTCATAAAATTAATTCACCGGTCATGGTATCGTTAAGCCACAGCAGAAGGGGCCTGCGGTTAACACTTAGCTAATTCCTTTAGGCTGTCTGAGTGGTTTGTGGTCACATGACCTCTATGGTTAAATAAGCCGGGACCTGGGAAGAGGAGGGCACCCGGGGAAACCATCCAATCACGGTTCACGGTACCGCGGGAAGAGTACATTCGTATGCATGATCCCCACTTATACGTTATTTATCCATAAACACTAGATGTGTGCCTTAGCAAAGCGTTTCAGAGACTCCATGCAAAAACAGGTGCACAGAGTATTTTACGGGGCCTGCCGGTAAATAGCACACTTGTCAGGATACTGCTGTACCATGGCCAAGGTGCACTGAAAGGAAGCAGCGAGATCATGGGAGAATGATGCACTACTGAATGTCAGGCATATGGAGAGCCAGTGGGATGATGGGATACCGTGTGGGAGGAGCCTCCTGGGAAGCCCAGCGCCCAAGGCCCCGCCCTTCATGCCTCATAGGCTGTCAGCGGAGGTCTTTGCGAGGGCGCCGAGCTGCCCACGGGTCAATGGGGATTTTGGGGGTTTTTTTTTGTGTTTGGGAGGGGGATTCTCCACCTCCCTCTTGCCCTCCAGCTGGCAGGCGACGGTCCGCCTCCTCTGCCCCCCTCCAGCTTGCAGTGGGAGCGCAGCAGCTGCTGAGTATCTCATCCAGGAGCAGCCCGGCCGGATTATCGTCCCAGCCCTGCCTTTGTTTGGGAACGCTGCAGCCTCGCCGTTTCCAGAATCCCTGGGAAAAATCAATGCGGAGTGCAATGCCAGGAAAATGTGTGAAATATCGCCTCCAGTCACACATCGGGGCAAAAATCAAAGCGGCGATCGTGTAAACAATTCCGGAGCGCGCGCTTTACGGAAATCCATTAAAAATGCCCGGGAAGGAGAAGTCCGTGACGCAGACTCTATTTGTAAACATCTTTTTCACCTGGGGCACATTGGGATAATGTGTGTCGTGGGATTTTCAGTTTTGTGACAAGCTGTGGCATTTTTGATTGTTGATAAAAAATAATGTATATAACTCCACAAGCATCATACTGGGGGGTGGGGGTGGGTCAGTAACCAAGGGATGCTAAATATTTAAACATGTGGCATGACCTCATTACATTTGGAACTGGATCTTGCCCTCTGAAGGGCTCCACTCTCTCCGGCAAATTTGGCTGCAGACTAGGGGGTAACCTGGTCAAAACTGACACCCTGCGCACCGTCGCCCTCCTCCAGAAGTGGGACAGAGGGCCCAATAAATCACCACTCCCCCTGAGGGGTGGCTGATTTCGGCAGAGTGCCGGGTTTTGGGGTGGGGGGGGGGATGGAAACATGACCGGCCGGCTACCAAAAATGTTTAAGAAATGGCTTCATCCTCACCGCAGGCTGGGCTCCAGCGGGCTGCTGACCCTGACCATGAATTTCACACGGCACGATTTGAACGCCCCTTAAACCCTGTGAAGAGTTTTAGAGATATTAATCATCCTTTTTGCCACAGACGAGGACGAAAGGCCGAGCCGCATGCGTGTGCGTGACTCTTTATCCTTTTTACGCAGGTTATTTCTGTTGAGACAGTAAACGGAGTGCCGGCCCTTTAAATCTCACCAGGAGGCATTTTGTTTTTCTACAGATTACTTAATTGGGACCCAATGAAACCATTCCAGGTCTTTCCCTCGTGCTTATCAGTGATTTGGCTTCTCGCTGTGACGAAACTGATAGCAAGCTTAAGAGCTAAACAGCCGGCCTACAGCGAAACCCTAACAAAATGAATGAACAATGCTGGAGCAAACTAAAAAGTGAGTGATAAGGCATGAGAAACGCCATGTTGTCATACTGATAAAGTCTGGTTAACCAGTTGTTGTTATAAATAGTTATACATCAAATGCCCAGAAACTACTTGTCGTTATAAACAATAGTGTTTTATAAAGCTCGCTCTACTACTGTGGTTTTCTGACAAATAAATTAACCCCACGGCCCTGCGCCTAAAAGGACATTTTAAGTGGAGGAGAATGATTATCACACAATATAAAGTTACAATATAAACATGCATTTAAGCTTTGCATATAAAGCTTTAATGGGCCCCATTTCATCTGACCTTTCACGTAATAAGCTTGTGAATAATTATCTGTTTTCGCTGGGTGATTCACAAGCCATAAACCAGACATTAAAGCGATCCGCGATAAGGACTGCGGAAAGGTAAACGAGACCTGCTTCGCTCTCCCTGCTGAGCCGCTCCGATCCCACCGCACCGATTTAACTAGTTCACCGAACAGCTCAGCCGTGCTAAAAAAGAACTGACGTTTACCTACTTAGCATTCATCTCACCGCGTCTCCGAGACCACTGGGTTTATGACGGTTCATCCTAATAATCAACAATATATAGCCGGCTAACCCCGTGACGAGAGACTAACAAGGGGAACGGATTTAGCTTAGCTTTCCCGTCTGCCTGCTAAAGTCAACGGGATTCGCATGGTACAGGCCTAATGAAGGCCCGGTGTGTGAGAGGATCGCTGAGAGGGGCTCGAAAATCCCAGCTCCCGACGCCTGCCGCACTGCCACTTCAAATCCTAATGCTAAATTGTTTTTCTTTTGGCGGGGGGGAGCCTGAAATTTATGTCGCAGGTAATGTCATCATTCCCACAGGTGAATTTTAGCTGTTTTATTCTGCAGTTCTGGGACACTCATCTGATATGTGAACGATTCTTAAATCTCTCTCTATTTTTTAATGGAAGTCATTTCGAGGAGTCTGTCCGGTGACGTGTCCCGCAGTGACGTCCGGCTCACTTGGAACATTCCGGAAATCTCATCTAGCCTGATGTGACGGGCCGGCAGTTGTGTGCCCGACTTTGACCAGCCCTAACGACGAGTTTTCTCTGTCAGACGAACTCAGTCCCTTCACCTGCTTCGTACCTGCCTGCTGTGTGAGGCATCACGGGGAGGGGGGTTTACATTTTTAATGAATGGGGCTGTTCTGTCCCTCTGGCGTGTTGATAACAGGCTGGGGTTAGGCATGTGGTTTCATGGGGAGAAAGTCCTCCATAAAGCAAACTCAGCTCGTGTGTGGCTCAGTGGGTTAGCATAGCTGTGATCGCAAGGTTGTTGGTTCAAATCCCAGCGTCGGCAGAGTGACTTTGCTGTGGGGTCCCCTGAGCAAGGTCATTAGCCCCAGGTAAGGCAGGCACAGGCTGACCCTGCAATCTCAACTGCATATAGGGAAAAATCTGTGGAGATTCCTTGGTAAAGAAATAAAAATGAAGGCATAGA